AATAAACATCTAAACATAACGTGTCTTGTTAAAATATTGCTTGTTTTTCTAAAGTTACTTCAACTTTCTTCTGATATTAAAAGTTATTTTTTTCGTACCTAAAGTATGATCTTGTTCAATATGTCAGTTCATGACAAATTGTCATTTCATGCTTCTTATAATTTTTCAAAGAAATGCATTGAAATTTGAGATTAGTTATTTTCGTGCAATTGAAATCTAAAATTAAGTATTCTATTTAAAAATTATTTGTTATTCAATAGCTGCTGCATGTTTCTCGTCATGGGAAGTGTTGTTATTTGCGTTCCGAAATTATCCTGCCAGTAAATATTTCAATTCATAACAAATCGTCATGAATTTTCAATGACAGTGTGAAACAGTTAAATTTTTAAACGTAATATCAGTAAATAATATTGTTTCTTAAGAATTCATATATAATTCATGAATTAATACTTTTTCTCTCCTAACGTGGATATGTTTATTCAATAAACATTGAAAAATAACAAGTCTTGTTAGAAAATTGCTTGTGACTCTAATGTTACTTTAGTTTTCATCTTATATAAAATGTTATTTTTTGGTAACCTAAAGTTTGATGTTTATTGAATTGAACTAAAATTATAAAACTTTTGAATATTAACATTTATTATTATTGGAGCAATATATGCTCGTAATCGTGAACTTCTGAGGAAAACGAATATATCAAAATAAATTAAACAATGTTTATATTTAAAAATTTTATAATTTTTTTGAAAAAATCATTAAGCGTCATAAAGTAATATTGTCATCAAGCCCGAGAACGCCACACAGGCCCACCGCTGTAATTGACTTACTCGAGGTCTGAGCCCGGGACAGGCCGATAGAGTGAAGGTATACCACTTCCCTTTACAGGACCCAATCCGTGATCGCTCGATTCGTCCAAACAGCCTTGGGTTGAGGGAAAATTTTTTTATTATTGTATATGTGATATAGATGATAACCGTTTAATTCTCGTGAGTGGAAGTGGTGTATCCATACTTAAATTACCAACACCTATCCCCGAGGACGCCACTCAGGTCTACCGTAATATCTGCCTTACGCGAGAACTTATCATAGGCCCGGGTTGGAAGAGTGGGGGTATAACACTTCTCCTCAATGGAGTGAAACGGCTACTGCTGATGTAAGATAAACATAGAGCAACCGTCTACTGTTGCAACAACATTGTAGTAGTGTCGCTAAAAAAAGCTTCTAATAGTTTCAGGTGACTTAACTTGATTATTATATAGTTTATAATATTTTTCTGCAATTTGTCGATCAATAACTTACTGCATGTGTTGAATCTTCTTATATTATATTATATTACACAGCCCCACAAAAAAAAGTGTCGTGCGCGCAGACCAGACTAGTCATTTCCTATGTATTTTGACGCGCTGAACACGAATCCGAAGTCCGTTTTGCTCCATCACGTCAGATTTTTTTCTAACCTCCAAAACTGTCGGATTTTGAGAGGTATGCTATTTTTTTAAAAATTGATGGATTTACTTCAAACTTGGCATATAGGGGTGTTTTGGGTCGCTGATGACGAATTTGAAGTTAGATTGTCAAAATTTAAAATGGCGGCTCCAATATGGCGGACGAATTTTGTAAAAAATTGATGGATTTACTTCAAACTTGGTATCTAGGGGTTTTTTGGGTCGCTGATTACGAATCTGAAGTTAGATTTTCAAAACTAGAAATGAAAATTCTTATATACATAAGTAAGGTATTAACGTCTTTTTATGGTAGCGCACTCTTTTGTCCTCAAAGGATCTGTGTAATGGTTTTCTTTTCAAATTGGTGCCTCCAGGTACAATATCCCTTTTCAGCATCCAACAGTAGTGGGCCATCATATTTACATCCCATCTTCCTTGATAACGACGCTCAAATTCTTTAAGATCTTGATGGAATCGTTCTCCTTGTTCTTCACTGTAATCTCCTAAATTTTCAGGGAATTGATCCCGATGCGAGTCTAAGTAATGCAACTTTATGCTCATTAAGCATCCTAACTTACCAAAGTTTTTAATCATATCACTAACTATTTGCTCCCAATTTTCACTCTTGTGATTACCCAGAAAATTTCCGACAACTGCTTTGAAACTAAGCCATGCGGCTTTCTCCTTTTTATTCATCTTGGTGATAAATTGCTCATCTTTTAACAATTTGCGAATACGTGGTCCGCCGAAAACCCCTTCTTTTAGTTTCGCATCAGAGATTTCTGGAAACTTTTGTTCCAGGTATTTGAAGCAGTTTTCCTTTTTTATCTAAGGCTTTGACAAACTGTTTAATTGCTCCTAGTTTCGTGTGTGAGGGCGGAATTATCACCTTTGAAGGGTCGATTAGGGGAATTTCTATTATATTTTTTTAACCTGGTTCGAAAGAATTCCTTTTTGGCCATTGTTTTTTAATGTAGTGATTTGCTCGATCTCTACTGTCCCACAAACACAGGAAACATGGTGTTTTTGTAAAACCTGATTGTTGTCCAAGTAGTATGCTTAAAATCTTGAAATCTCCACAAATTTGCCAGTTGTGTTCTCGGTATCTAATTTTATCCAAAACTAGTTTCATATATTCATAGTTTTCTTTCATTTCTGTTGAATGCGCTATTGGAATTGGGGCCATATTGGAGCCCCCATTTTAAATTTTGAAAATCTAACTTTAGATTCGTAATCAGCGACCCAAAAAATCCCTAGATACCAAGTTTGAAGTAAATCCATCAATTTTTACAAAATTTGTCCGCCATATTGGAGCCGCCATTTTGAATTTTGACAATCTAACTTCAAATTCGTCATCAGCGACCCAAAAAACCCCTAGATACCAAGTTTGAAGTAAATCCATCAATTTTTAAAAAAATAGCCTACCTCTCAAAATCCGTCAGGTTTTTGGAGGTTAGAAAAAAACCCTGACGTGATGGAGCAAAACGGACTTCGGATTCGTGTTCAGCGCGTCAAAATACATAGGAAATGACTAGTCTAGTCTGCCGCGCACGACACTTTTTTTTATGGGGCTGTGTTATTATTATTATATAAAAAAATATTGACTGTTTGATATTTGTTTCTTTTGCTTGTCTTAAATGTTTCATATAAAAAATACTTCAATCCATTTATTTTTTTGGTATTGGATAACATTGGCATTAAAGATATTACGATTTTGAGAATATAGAAAGATATTGGATAACATTGGTATTGAATATATTTTGATAATGGAACAAAAATATTGATTGTTTGATAATAGTGGAAGCTGGCTTTTGGAAAAATTTTTGGTATTGGATAATTTTTGGCATTGAAGATGTTTGGATTTTGAGGATAAATAGTGAGTTGAATATTGATTTGAATATTAATAAAAAGAGCAGAGGAAAATAAGTTAAATAATAATCATTATCGAAAATGATGTAATGTGGAAAAAGATTAAACAACGCTAATTCACATTCATATAAGCCTATCATTGTTGCATTCGTTAGCTGAATTATAGTTAATGAAATATTTTATAGGTGAAACACATGTAAGTAAATTTTTTAAAGCAAGAAACTAAAATAAAAGATTTGTTTTGAAAAGTGACTTTATCGGTAGTTTAAAAGTTGAAGGAGGATACCATGTCGATTATAAAAGAGTATTTTACTTTAAGTAATAAAGATTTCAAGATTATTGAAAATGAAAATGTAATGTTAAATGATATGCATATGTATAAATTAGAGAAAGAGATAAACATATTCAAATAGTTTTTAGCGGTAATAACAATTCTGGTCATTGGATTTGTGTTTATTACGATGGAGTAAGACTTTATATTTTTGATAGCCTTAATGCAGGAATTTGAAGTTAGATTTTCAAAATTCAAAATGGCGGCTCCAATATGGCGGACGAATTTTGTAAAAATTGATGGATTTACTTCAAACTTGGTATCTAGGGGTTTTTTGGGTCGCTGATGACGAATTTGAAGTTAGATTTTCAAAATTCAAAATGGCGGCTCCAATATGGCGGACGAATTTTGTAAAAATTGATGGATTTACTTCAAACTTGGTATCTAGGTGTTTGAATATTCATCAAATAGAATATTTAATTAGATTGTTCCCTTTTAAACCAACAGTAGTTTTTGTAGCTGTTGATCAACAACCGGCTGGAAGTGTTGAGTGTGGAGTATGTGCAATAGCATTTGCAACATCTGTATTTTTTAACGTAATGCCAAACAGTGTAATTTATGAAACTGATAATGATAGAATGAGAAAACATTTGAAATTAATTTTTGAAAATAATCGGTTGAATCCTTTCCCCTCAGTGAGATCGTCAATTATTAAAAATTCAATTGTAGAGGATGATTGGAATTGTCTTTTAATAAATCGAGCTGAAGAACTTCAAACTGGTGGACTAAACCCTTCATATTTTCATAACAGTTTTCCAAATAATAATGCAAATAGAGTTCTATCAACACAACATTTAGAAATTAAACGTTCTTTGATTGACGCAAGTAAAAAGAAAAGAATTTGTGCAACTAATAATAATGTAAACAAAGTTTCACCAGGTAAATATTTAGAAATGAAGCATTTCCTAAGTGAAGAAAATGATAAAAAGATACTTTGTGCAATAAAATATGATGAGCAGAAAATAATTATACAAGAGCATAATAGACTGACAAAAGAAAATCGTAATGAAAAAGAAATACAAAAAATAGAACTCCAAAAAAGAGATTTGACATGCAAAAAGAATAAAATTTCTACAGAAATTGAGGATGAAATGAAAATACGCAAAGAAAGAAATTTGGCATATAAGAGGAAAAAATTATCTACAGAAACTGAGGATGAAAAGAAAATACGCAAAGAAAAAAATTTGGCATGTAAGAGGAAGAAATTAGCTACAGAAACTGAGGATGAAAAGAAAATACGCAAAGAAAGAAATTTGTCATGTAAGAGGGAGAAATTAGCTACAGAAACTGAGGATGAAAAGAAAGTGCGTCAAGAAAAGAATTTGGCATGTAAAAAGGATAAGAAAAATCAAAAAATGTTAGACACTGTAGGAGTAGCAATTATGTCCCTTGAAGATTTCGATGAAAGTAAAGTTTCACAGAATTATTTAGGTTTGATGAATGTAGAATGTAAGTTTTGTAGTGCGTTACATTTTTTGTGTGAAAGGCCGTCAGATAGATTATTTAATAGTTGCTGTCACAAGAGAAAAGTAAAGTTGAAAGTATTAAATCCTTATCCGTTTTATTTGAAAACTTTGTTATTTGATTCAAGCTTTGAAGGTAAAAATTATAAAGAAAATATTCGTTCTTATAATAATTCCTTAGCATTCGCCAGCATAGGAGCAAAATTAGAAATTCCTAAAGGAAATGGGCCTTATGTTTTTCGTGTACATGGACAAGTGTATCATAATACATATGCCCTTCATCCCGATGGTGATGACAATCAAAAATATGGTCAGTTGTACATTATTGCCACTAATGAAGCAGTACTTGAACGATTAAAGAATAAATCTAGTAAGAAATGTTTATCATCATTAACGGAAGAAATAGATAAATTATTAAGGGGAATTAATCCTTATGCTAAAGCTTTTAAAATGATGAGAGAGGTAGAATTAGAAGAAGAAGCACTAGCAAAATCTAAAAATGAGCCTATAAGGAATATTCAAATGTGGATTAAACGAGACAGATCATTGAATCAAAGCAAATTTAATGTTCCATCTTGTAGTGAAGTAGCACTTGTATTTCTTAGCGAAGATGGTGAACCTCCTATGGAACGTGATATATATATACACCCAAAAGGTTTAAAGAGTATTCCAATATCTAGTCTTAGCGAAAATGTTGATCCCATGACATATCCTTTAATTTTTCCTCATGGTGATCCTGAATGGACTGTTAACCTTAAGCATACTCAAGGTACTCGAAATGTTACTCCTTTACAGTTTTATATGTATCGTCTTGCATGTAGAAGAACTTTTAATCCATGTTTACAATTAGGAAAATTAACTTAACAATATGTAGGTGATGTCTGGTCGAAAGTAGTTGGTAAACGTTTAAAATACATTCGTTTAAAACAAAAAAAACTCCGAGCGGAATTGTATTGTGGATTAATGGATTATCTTCCGAATAAAGCAAAAGAGGAAAATGTTCGACTTGGAAAAATGATTATTTTACCTTCGACATTTATTGGAGGGCCACGTTGTTATCAAGAATGTTTTATGGATGCTATGCGATTAGTTCAAGAATTTGGAAAACCAAATTTATTTATTACCATGACATGTAATCCAAAATGGCGTGAGATTACAGAAAGTTTGTTGGATATTGAAACTGCATCTGATCGTCCGGATATTGTGACTAGAGTTTTTCAACAAAAAGTTTAAGAGATAATGAAAGATATAAAAGGAAAAGAAATTTTTGGACCAATTCTTGCATTTGTTTATGTCATAGAATTTCAAAAGCGTGGATTGCCACATGTGCATTTAATTATATTTTTACGTAATCCAATTCGCGATGCAGAAACTTTACATAAAATGATATGTGCTGAAATTCCAGATGAAACAAAGAATCCAGAACTTTTTAAGATTGTAAAGCTATTTCAAGTTCATGGGCCTTGTGGAAAAGAAAATATGAATTCACCTTGCATGGATCCTGAGAAGAAACTTTGTACAAAAAAATATCCAAAGCTGTTTTGTTCTGAAACAACTTATGGTTCTAAGAATTATCCGGAACTCAGGCGAAGAAATGATGGTAAAAAAATCATTTTTTATAAAAAAGATGGGTCAATTAAATGTACCGCTGACAATTCGATGATCGTACCATATAATCTTTATTTGAGTAAAAAATTTGAAGGTCATATTTTTATTATACCATGTGGTAGTACGGATGGCATTAAATATTTATTCAAATATATGTATAAAGGTCACGACTGTGCAATAATAGGTTATAAGGATGATAATGAGGAAATGAAATATGATGAAATTGTTAATTATTTAAACACACGTTATGTATGTCCACCAGAAGCTATGCACAGATTATTCGAATTCAATATGCATGAACAATCACATACAACTTATAGATTAGCTGTACATTTACCAAATCAGCAATTAATATGTTTTAAAGAAGGATTAGAAGAAGAAGCAGTTAATAAATTTAAAAATACGACATTAACAGCATGGTTCAAATTAAATGAAAAAAATCCTGAAGCTCGCAAGTATTTGTACACAGAAATACCACATAAGTATGTTTTCGTTGAGTCATCAAAAACTTGGAAAATAAGGGAACGAATTACTTTTGGAAAAATTTTTGGTATTGGATAACATTGGCATTAAAGATATTTGAATTTTGAGGATAAAATTGGTATTGAATATGTTTTGCTAAAGAAAGAAAATATTATATGTTTGATATTAGTGGAAGCTGGCTTTTTTAAAATTATTTAAATAGAAAGCGGGTTGAATATTGTTTTACGGGGGAAATAATAGTTTGTGAGCTAAATATTGATTTGAATATCAATTGTTAATTTGAGAGACAAAAAGATTTAAAGACATTAGAAAACTTGATTTAATGAACCCAAAATTAATAGGGCAGAGGAAAGTAAGTTGAATGATACTCAATATCGAAATTGATGTAATGTGAAAAAAGGTTAAGCAACGCTAAGTTACCTATATAAAGTATTATCCTTATTGTATTCGGTGGCTGATTTACAGTTAATGAAATATTTTATAGGTGAAACACATGTAAATGATTGATTCTCTGAAAAAGGAGAAATCACGCGTGATCGGTTTGAAAATGGACTTTATTAGCAGCTTGAAATTTAAAGAAGACCATGTAGAACATAAAAGAGTATTCTATTTTAAGTAATGAAGATTTTAAAATGATTGAAAATGTAAATCAAACTAAAAATGATATGCATATATTTCAAGAATAATTGAGAAAAGATTCAAATTAATTTTTCACTTTTTGCAAAGTATTTTGTATTTATCCTTATCCGTTTTATTTCAAAAATTTATTATTTGACTTAAGCTTCTATTCATTAGTCTTCACCAGCATGGGAGCGAAATTAGAGCAATGATATGGTTCTTATGTTTTTCATGTACACGGACATGTATCATAATACATATGCCCTTCATCTTGATGGTGATGATAACCGAAACTATGGTTAGTTGTACATTCTTGATACCAATGAAGCAGTACTGGAACGATTAAAGAATAAATCGCATAGGGAATGGTTATCATCAAAATCTAAAAATTAGCCTATAAGGAATATTCAAATGTTGATTAAGCGCGACGGATCATTGAGTCAAAGCAAATTTAATGTTCTATCTGGTATTGAAGTAGCATTTGTATTTGTTAGCGAAAGTAGTGAACATCCTATGAAACTCGTTATATGTATACACCCAAAGGGTTAAAAGAGTATTCCAATTTCTAGTCTTATTGTTAATGAAAATGTTGATCCTATGACATATCCTTCAATGTTTTCTTATAGTGATCCTGGTTGGACTGTTAACCTCAAGCATACTCAAGGTACTTGTAATTTTAATCATTTACAATTTTATATGTATCGTCTTTCATAGAGAAGAAAAAGCGTGGATTGACAAATGTCCCTTTAATTATATTTTTACGTACACAAATTTGCGATGCTAAAACTTTAAATAAAATGATATGTGCTGAAATCCCATAGACGAAACAAAGAATCCAGAACTTTTTAACATTGTAAAGCGATTTCAAGTTCATGGACCTTGCGGTAATCAAAATAGAAATTCACTTTGCATGGACCCTAAGATGGGTCATTTAAATTTATTGCTGACAATTCGATGATCATAGCATATGATTTTTGAGTAAAAAATTTGAAGGTAATATTGACTGTGCAATAATAGGGTATGAAGATTGTAATCAGGAAATATGCAATATAATGAAATTGAACATTGTTTAAACACACGTTCTGTATGTCCACCAGAAGCTATGCACAGATTATATTTATACAAATTAACTAAACTATTGTATTTTATTAGAACACCATAATGTTGAATTAATAATACAATAAGGATTTCAAAAATAACATTATTAATTTTGTGAGATCCAAATTTCAATACCTTTTCGTCAAATAAAATAAATTTTTAATTATGAATAAAGAATTTCACGCGCGTTTCTTTTAGCTAGTTCATATATAATTCATGAATTAATACTTTTTCTCTCCTTACGTGGATATGTTTATTCAATAAACATTGAAAAAAACATGTCTTGTTAAAAAATTGCTTGTGACTCTAAACTTACTTTAGTTTTCATCTTATATGAAATGTTATTTTTTGGGAACCTAAAGTATGATGTTGTTCAATATGTCAGTTCATGACAAATTCTCATTTTATTTTTTTTTCATTTTTTCAACGAAATTAATTGACATTTTAGATTAGTTATTTGTATGCAATTGAAATATGAAAATAATACTCGTCAAAAAGTTGTTTTTGACTCAAAAGTTGCTTCTTGTTTCTCGTCAAGGGAAGTGTTATTTTTTGCGTACCTGAAGCATGCTGTCAGTAAATATTTCAATTGATAACAAATAGTTATTAATTTTCATTGATACACTGAAAAAAAAATTCTGGTTAGGCTATATTTAACATTACTTTCTCGTTAAGTTAACCAGAATTCTAGTTGCATTAACTAGAATTCTTGTTAAAATAACCAGAATTCTGGTTAACCTAACCAGAATCAAAATGTTAAATATACCCTAACCAGAATTCTAGTTGGAATAACCAGAATTCTTGTAATTCTAACTAGAATTTTTTTTCAGTGTAGTCAAAAACCGTTAAATTCATAAATCTAACATCTGTAATTATTATTGTTTCTTAAGAATTTATATATAATTCTTGAATTAATACTTTTTTTCTCTCCTTTCGTGGATATGTTTATTCAATAAACATTTAAAAATAACATGTCTTGTTAAAAAATTGCTTGTGACTCTAAACTTACTTTAGTTTTCATCTTATATGAAATGTTATTTTTTGGGAACATAAAGTATGATGTTGGTCAATATGTCAATTCATGACAAATTGTCATTATATATTTTTTTTAATTTTTAAAAGAAATCCAGTGACATTTTAGTTTAGTTAATAATTAAATTGAACAATTATAATAATAATTTGTTTACAAAGAAAATTTGAATAAAAATTTATTTTCTCATGGTGAAAATTTTTTTTGTGTTACGTATAAATTTTTTGTTAAATTTTCGAAGTAAAAAAAATTAAGTCGCTAATAATTACGTCTTTTAGTTAATTAATTTTTTTACAGAGAAAATTTGACAAAAATTTACTTTCTTATCGTAATATTTTTTTGAGCTGGAAACTGGTTACTCAGGGGATTTTGGGGTCGCTGATTACGAAAATGAAATTAGATTTTTAAAATTCAAAATGGTGGACGAATTTGTTAAAAATTCATTGAATTCGCTTGAAACATGTTACTCGGGGGTATTTGGGGTCGCTGATCAGGAAACTGAAATTAGATTTTTAAAATACAGAACGGCGGATCCAATATAATTATTTTGTAGCCTTTAAAAAGGCTGATTCATATAATTTATTAACTGTCGGTTTGATTTCACACGCTTGAATTTACTTTGAAATGTCTCCAGTTTTAGTAATCGTTAATAGTTTTAGTAATTCGTATCTTCAATGACATCTTGAGAAGACGTCTGATAAACTGACTCTTCATTGAAAATCTGCTCAATATCAATTAAAATACATTATCATTTTCATCCTCTATGGCATACGGGTCTGAAACTTGCATTGCATCTTCAAAATGCAATGATTCGTAAGTTTCCACGAAGAAAGTATTATTTATAGAATATTTTATCAAGTTTTCAATATGAGAACGAAAAACTTTTCCCTCATCAGTTATTACGCTTTTTGGATCATGTGCATGTTCATTGAAAGCATTTTGTAACATCGTTAAAGTATTCTTTGGATTTATTAATCAAAGATGCAATTGCTCAATTTTTTATACTTACAATGCAAAGAAACTGAACAACAAATTTTGCATTGATTGGCGTTTGTTTTAAAACAAATAACTATCGGTTTAGAGAGATAGTCATTTGTCAACTCTCTAAAGCGATAATCATTTGTTTTAAAATAACGCCAATCAATGTGAAACCATTTGCATTTTAATACGTGTTATAGAGAAGTGTTGTTTATTTTCTTTACATTGTAAGCTTAAAAAATTAAGCATTGGCATGTTTGATTAAATTTTGCTGTGTATTTAATGTATTTATTAAAATATCGCTATGATATTAATGAATTCCACGAATATTATAACCATATTACAAAAAGCTTTCGATCAACCTGAGTATGATCTGGAAAGCGTAATAACTGATGAAGAAAAAGTTTTTAGTTCTCAT